TTCTTCAAAACAATAAATGCTCATCTTCCAACATTTTAATATTGATAAATAGGTGCTTCCCATTTCTCTATGCAATGAACATTGTCTCCCTGGTTATCAAAAGAGGAAGAATGAAGGAAAGAAATTCTGCTGTTATGATTGTGTTGAATGTCCAGAGGGGAAAATCTCTAAAGAGATTGGTAAGTTAACAAATCATTCAATTTTGTTGTTATACTGTCTAGTGTGCTGAACACTTTCCGCTAATTAAATTGTTTGGTTTTTCATGAATAAGGATTTTTTAAAAGAAACTTAATGGGGTAATGAAATGAAATCAATTAATTCATGAAAAATTATAAGTTCTTACAATGGAATTACAAGGGTTGATCACAATCACAACAATGTTTCAATTAATTAATTAACCAAGCAAGCATCATAGTAGAGATTCAGAACATTTTCACTGAAGAAAATCTATGCACACTGAAAAAAATAATTATTTCAGGGTTTTTTTCAAAGATGAGAAATAAGAAACCAAAAAACATGATTATGAAATTTAAAAACTACCTATAAAAGAATGACTGTGAAGGTGGAGAGGAAGGAAGGAAGGAATTCAGAATTGATGTCTTTTGATTTTACTATGGAATCCAAAAATCTCAAATGTGCACTAATTAAATAGGGACACTCTTGAAATATAATAATGAAAATATGAATTTCTGAAATTTAAGGAAATGAGTATTTACTTCTTAGGAAGAGTGGACAAATTAATGAAATATATCTCTTAACAATAATCAAAATCTTTAGATGTAATGAGGAATGTGATTAAAACACTCCCTACTTTAAATGGTAATAACTTTTTCCTTTCCAACCAGTCACTTACTTTATTTGTTTGTTTGTTTGGTGTTTGTTTGTTTGTTTGTTTGTTTGTTTATTTGTTTGTTTGTTTGTTTGTTTGTTTGTTTGTTTGTTTATCCATCCATCCATCCATTCACCCATCCATCCATTTGAGCACAGTTTTGCTTCTTTGAGAAATACTTATGCATATTTTTTCTACAGTGTGTAGCTCTCTTGGATATGTAATATCAAAGCATTTTATATGCAGACTGATTCAACATTCTCTTTAGGGGGTAAACACAAGAAAATAAATTTTAGCAGAAACATAGAAAGAAAACAAAAATAGTGATATTAAATATAAAGGCATATATACTTCTCTTACAGAAACAGAAAATCCCTTTTACTTTATAATTTTTCCTTCAAATATGTAATTATTAACCTTTCTACAATTTCCTCCTTGAAATATTATCTTTCATCTTTCAGTTTGAATTTGGTGAAACTATTATACTTATGTACCATAATTTGAATATTATTCAATATTCAATAAGTCAATATGGTTTCAGATATGAAAATGATCACTTCAGTTATTGATGAATCCTTTATTATAACAAAGCAAATAAAGATAAAATGGATTTTGATGGAGTTTGTGAAATTTCCTTATGTATAATCAAAGCAATATTTGATGTAATACCACAATACACAAAATATACATAGAGAGATGTTCAAATGCATTTTCATATTGTAGATTCCATCATTTGTACCAAGGACATAAGCATCAGGGTGTGGATAAATATGAAAATTAATAATTATCATTCTTATGAATCTTCATTGCCATTTTTTTCCTTTTAGACACTGTTGCTTGCTTTCAATGTCCTGATGATCAATATGCAAACCATAAGAAAGATGGATGCATCATGAAAACAATTAGCTTCTTATCTTATGAAGAACCTTTAGGACTCAGTTTAGCCACCATTGCTACTTTATTTGTCCTCACTGCAATATGGGTGTTGGGAATATTTATTAAGCACAAAGACAGTCCTATTGTGAAAGCCAACAACCGGGATCTCACCTACATTCTCCTCATCTCCCTTCTCCTTTGCTTCTTCTGTTCTTTGCTCTTTATTGGACAACCTGGGAGAGTCACCTGTCTCCTCAGACAGTCTGCATTTGGTCTCACCTTCTCATTGTCCATCTCTTGTGTGTTGGCCAAAACCATCCTTGTTTCTCTTGCCTTCAAGGCCACCAAGCCAGGATCTCAGATAAGGACATGGGTGGGGAAAAGATTGGCTGTTTCTGTTGTCCTGCTCTGCTCTCTACTCCAAGCAAGTATCTGTATTGTTTGGTTATCCACCTCTCCCCCATTCCCAGAATTAGACATGCACTCAACAACTGAAGAAATGGTTCTACAATGCAATGAAGGCTCAGTCGTTATGTTTTATTGCGTTCTGAGCTATATGGCTCTCCTTTCACTTTCCAGCTTCATTGTGGCATTCCAGGCTCGTAAACTTCCTGACAGTTTTAATGAAGCCAAGTTCATCACCTTCAGCATGTTGGCTTTCTGCAGTGTGTGGGTCTCCTTTGTTCCAACATACCTGAGCACCAGAGGAAAAGCCATGGTGGCTGTGGAGATATTCTCCATTTTGTCCTCTAGTGCCGGGCTTCTAGGATGCATCTTTTTCCCCAAATGTTACATTATTGTATTTAGACCTGATTTAAACAAAAGGGATCAACTGATAAGAAGACATGTTTAAAAACCTTTTTGATTATGTTTTTAAGTTGAGAGGAGAAATGTCAAAATTCAATCTTTTAAATATATTCTTATAGGTGTGAAGAGATTGTTTAGCATTGTGATTTTCTTGTAGCTCTGAAACCTGAATTTATGAAAAATTCTGTCAAATTATGGTATTTCCCCACAACTGTCAAAGAAGGCTCACAGAACGTAGTGGGGAATACTAATATGTTTTGAGGTAGAAAGTGGATAAGAATACAATTTTTGCTCTAAGTTTGTTCATTTTATTTATTATGCTATGGTTGTTAGTTCTATAAGAAAACACNTAGTAGGAATTTTTGTTTAGTTTCTCCTCTTCCATTTTACCGGGATACATGCTCTCCATCTGTTTCTTTTGTTAATAGTTCTCAGTAGTCTCTTTCAATATATGATTGAATCACATTTCATCAAATACAATAATCCAGTAATTTATATATAAAGTGTGGAAGCATTATATGTATTTATTACAGATAAAATCTGCATAACAGGAATCTCCCTTATAAAAAAAGAGAAGAGCAGATTCCCCTTTATCTCTGAAATGAAATCATTCTCACACTTTGAGAATATTCTCTAGTATAGCAGTCTGCATCCGAGAGCTAAGATTAAATTGCTTCCACTTTTCTTCTTTTATTCTACCACTTCTGTAAATGAAGGCAAAACTTTGAATCTAGAAAACCAAAAGAGGCAAGAATTTAAAATTCATTCAGTTTATATTCCATTCAAGTGGCTTTTTAAAAATGTATTTTTCCTGGTTTGTAATTGTGAAAGTGATCTAAACAAAGAATTAATACACTCCCGAAATTCACACTATTTATGAGTAATCAAAGTAAGAGGAAAAGTAATTGAATTTTATGTCCAGGTTTTGATGGGCAGTTAAAAAAGAAAGATTTTTATTTTGTTCTTTTCATCTATTAATTAAATACAAAGCAAGACAAATTAACAAGAGGAAAATGAAACAAAACAAAACTGAAAAAGAAAGAAATATCTATGTTTCATATAGGAACCAACAATAATACAATCTTTCTATATAAATAAAAATGTAAATATTCGTTTGTTCAAAATTTTAAATCTCCGAAATTTCTTCACTGATTGCTTTGAAATTTTGACACAACATTGCATTCAAATATGCACGTGTTTTTATATACCTATATTATATAGATGTCACACCTGTGACAGGTAAAAACAAGTTTTTAAAAAAAAAACAGCGCCATCTGTTGGACGTAAAAGCAACACACGCTTTTACCAGACTGAGCCACAGCAACACGTGGCTGGGTACATCTAGTTGTTAATATTTTACATAAGTATTCTACATTATATTGAGAACTGGGGCTATTTACACAAATATAAGTGTTTTAGCTTATTTGAAATGGAAAATCTATTTTCTAAATTCATTTCTTAATTATCATGAAATTCTTTTAATGGTATATTCACATAGGTATGTGAGAGTGGCATGGCAGCCTAGAGGTAAAGACGCTAACCTCCCACTCGGAATGTTGAGGCCTCAATCTTAGGCAGCGGTAGAGAGAAAATATCTGGTGTGCACTCCATATATGGGTCAGGAAGGGCATCCATTGAGTAAATTCTCAGCTCCATTCAGTTGTCCCAACTCCACCCGGAATAAAGGGACAACATGGTCATAAAAAGAAAAAAATCACATAGGTACAATATGTGAATTTAGTACTTGAGAATATTAAAACTTTTATCACAGGAGAATCCATGTAAAAATGGGATATCACTAGATGTTACAATTGTAAATACAATCATGGACTTTATTAGGTAGCTTTGGTTGCACAACTGGTTTAAAAAGCCTTGGATGAAGCAGATTACCTGGATCCTTTTCAGTCAGGACTGAGGCCAAGATATGGAGAGAAATGATATTGATTGCATTTTTGGATGATCTCTGGCATTCTTGTCCTACTTGACATCTTGGTGGCTTTCAGTCCAATAGATCACGGTGTCCTTCTCGATCAGCTCAGAGGATTGGGGCTGGGTGACATGGTGTAATTCTGGTTTTCCTCTTTTCTTCAGGGTCAATTATGGTTGGTAGAGAAAGAGGACTAGAGGTCCTCTCCTTGTGGAGGGACATTCAGCAGCTCTCCAAAGGATATATGATGGGATTCCTAAAAACAAGTACCAGGTATCAACTCCAATCAGAACAATTGCCTTGCCCTGATAACAAATCCCCTCCAGATAGATTTTGATCAGGTTCTGCAGATTAACCTAATCAATCTCTTGTGTTATTCATATCACAATGTAACAAGACCTACAAATTACAAATTACAAATGGACCAATGTTCTATTCCCAAAATATCCTGGGAAGTGATGTTATTACAGAAATACATTTTGTTAAAGTGCTTCTAGTGAATCTTACATAAGCACAGAAACATATTTTGGTTGAAAAGTGGAAAATAACCAAAGTTTTATTATTCAAAGTGTAGCTTTGATATGAATTGAAGTTTACCTCTGAACTTTTCCAATTATTACATCACAAATAGAAAATAAATTAGGAAATACTAAATTCATATATACATATACACAAACATACACATATACATACACACACACACACAGACACACACTGTCAACAATGGAAGACAAAATGTTGAAGACATAATTACCTCCCTATTAAAATTATTTCAAAAATAATAATTTTCTCCCTTCATCAAAAGTGTAAAGAATTCAAGAAGACATTATAGAAAATAAAAGAAAATATTAAGAAGGACTGCTCCACAAGAGACTGGGTAGTAGAAGACAAGAACACACAAGTCCTATGATTTCAACTGCCACAAATTAAGTTCTGTTGGTGGAACTCTATATTGTCATTCAGACCTTTTTCAATATTATCACTAATTGCAAAAAGAATCAGGGCTAAAAGTTAAGTTTTCAGCCTTGCTCTAAATAGGAATTTTGAGGCTGGTGAATGCAGTTTAACATGGAAAACTGCTCCTGATGGAACATCTATACTTAGAGAGCAGTTGTTGTCCAGAAAGTTCTTTTTTCTCCTATTTCCACTCTTCAGAGTGAAGTCTTAGTCAGGACAAGATATAAATTAAGTCATTTATGTGGATCTATTAAGAATTTTCTTTTAGTTTTTCCACTTCCTTTTTACAGGGGTACATGCTCTCCGTCTATTCCTTTTCTTAGCAGTTTTCAGTAGTCTCTTTTAATATCTGATTGAATCACAATTCAACAAATCCAATAGTCAGGTACTTCATATGAAAACTGTGGAAGCATTATATGGAGTTATTATAGATAAAATTTGCATAACAGGAATCTACCCTATTAAAAAAGAAAGGAATAAAAGAACTTCTTTTGAAGAGTTTCATCTATCGGAACCATGACATTAGTACTTGAGAATATGAAATCTTTATCACAGGAGAATGCATGTAAAAAATGGGATCTCAATAGATGTTACAATTGTAAATACTTTTATGGGCTGTATTAGGTAGAAAATATTTCTTCTTTAAAAGAGAAAACGATTTGAGCATTGCTTGCATCAGTGGTTCAAAAAGTCTTGGATGAAGCAGATTACCTGGATCATTTTTAGTCAGGATTGAGGCCAAGGTATGAAGAGAAACAGTATTGATTGAATTATTGAATGATGATGATGATGATGATGATGATGATATGATAATAACAACAACAACAACAACAACAATAATAATAATAATAATAATAATAATAGTAGTAGTAGTAGTAGTAGTAGTAGTAATAATAATAATAATAATAATAATAATAATAATAATAATAATAATAATAATAATAATAATAATAATAATTTGGAAGTGACCTTGAAGGTCATCTAGTCCAACCCCCTGCTCAGTCAGGAAACCCTATACCATTTCAGACAAATGGCTGTCCAATCTCTTCTTAAAAACCTCCAGTGTTGGAGCATTCACAGTTTCTGGAGGCAGGTTATTCCACTGGTTAATTGTTCTAACTGTCACAATGTTTCTTCTTAGTTCTAGGTTGCTTCTCTCTTTGATTAGTTTCCATCCATTGCTTCTTGTCCCACTTTCAGGTGCTTTGGAGAATAGCTTGACTCCCTCTTCTTTGTGGCAACCCCTGAGATATTGGAACACTGCTATCATGTCTCCCCTTTTCCTTCTCTTCATTAAACAAGACATACCCAATTCCAGCAACCGTTCCCTGTATGTTTTAGCCTCCAATAGGTCAAGTAGGAAGAGAATGGATGTACAACTGACTTTCCACCCATGCCAGAGATCACTCTAGAAAGAGGACAGAAAAGACCAACAAAGATGATTATCTTTGTTGCTCTTTTCTGTCCTCTTTCTAGAGTGATCTCTGGCATGGGTGGAAAGTCAGTTGTACATCCATTCTCTTCCTACTTGACCTATTGGAGGCTTTCAGTACCATTGATCATGATGTCCTTCTGGATCAGCTAAGAGGATTGGGGGTGGATGGCATGGTGTTATGCTGGTTTTCCTCCTTTGGAAAATAACCAAAGTTTTATTATTCAAAGTGTAGCTTTGAGATTAATTTAAATTTACTTCTGAACTTTTCCAATTATTACATCACAAAAATAAAATAAATTAGGAAATACTAAATTCAGCTACATATATATATACACATTGCCAACAATGGGAGACAACATGTTGAAGTCATAATTATCACCCCATTGAAAGTATTAAAATGATAATAATTTTCTCCCTTCATCAAAACTGTAAACAATTCAAGAAGTCATTATAGAAAAGAAAAAAAAGAAAAATGACTGCCCCATAGAGACTGGAGAGTAGAAGACAAGAACACACAAGTCCTATGATTTCAACTGCCACAAATTAAGTTCTATTGCTAGAACTCTACATTGTCATTCAGACCTTTTTCAATATTATCACTAACTGCAAGAAGAATCAGGGCAAAAACATACTCTTCAGCCTTGCTCTGAATAGAAATTTTGAGTCTGGTGAATGCAGTTTAATATGGAAAGCTGCTCCTGGGCGAAAATCTATACTTAGAGAGCAGATGTTGCACAGAATGTTCTTTTTTCTCTTATTTCCACTCTTCAGAATGAAGTCCCTGCCGTGTCCACCAGGTGAACCCATACCTGTTCCAAATGAATGGTACCAGCAAGGGGACTATGTCATTGGTGGGATGGTATCTATGACTAGCTATCAATTCAATGAAGTTTCATTTCAGCAGCATCCTTCTCAGGAGTATTTTGGCCATCCAGAGTAAGGAATTCTTATCTTTTATCTTTGTGACATCTCTAGATTGCTTCATTTATTAATGAGAATACTTTCTAATAAAAGATACTTTATAAGAATTTTATAAAGGCATTGCTTATTTTTAATGCAACAATATTTATATTGGAAAAACCTTAAATTAGGAGACCAATTTCTATCATTCACCTTTGTGTCATCTCTAGTTAGAGGAATTGCAATGAACGATGGGAAAGGTAATTATTTTCTTTGATTTAATCTGCAACAATGGAAATAGTTTACTGTAGTTGAATTGGAAATAGATTTCAATTGGTCATTTTCCAATTGTGCATGTGTATAAGGTAAAGCACCTCTCTGTGGTGCCAGGGAAATAATAAGGAAATATTTAATGATACGTGTAAATTCATCCTTTTTTCAGCGTGCTAACAAAGTTTTACCAACATATCATTTCCTTGGTCTTTGCTGTGAAAAAGATCAATGAGAATCCAGAAATCTTGTACAATGTCACTCTTGGCTTCTATATTCTTGATAGCTACTACAATGCAATAATGACCTATCGGACCACCCTGGACCTGCTCTTCAGATCACAGAGATTTGTTCCGAACTATAAATGTGACACCAGGAGAAATCTCATTTCTATCATAGGAGGGCTCAGCTTTGGAACTTCCTCCTATATCGCAGATCTGGCAAAGTTTTACAAGATTCCACAGGTAGGGTCTTTGGGAAGAGAGGCCTGAAAATTCCCCCCTCTTTTCTTTTTTCCAAACTGGGCTTATTAAAATATCCTTATTCTCTGGCCACATTACGCAACAATCTGACCAGATTTGTTGGAAAATATGAACAAAAAGATACAGATGATGATCTATTTCCATAATATGTGTTTCTTTTAGCTCACATATGGGTCATTTACCCCACAAGATGTTCATAGCACTGAGATTCCATTCTATTACTCCCTGGTTCCAAATGAGTCCTCACAGTACATTGGGATTATCCGACTGCTTCAACATTTTAGGTGGAGATGGGTTGGGCTCCTTGCTATTGATAACAGTCAAGGAGACCATTTTCTGCAGAGCATGGAGTCCCTCTTTTCCCAGCATGGAATCTGCTCTGCTTCTACAGAAAGAATCCCATTTTTAACCTACTGGGACAAGATTTTTGAAATGTTCATAAAAGGGAAAAATATTTATAAAAAAATAATTGATGAGAAGACCAACACGTTCATCATCTGTGGAGAATCTTTGACAATTGCATGGTTAACGGATATAATTTTTTGGCTTGACCCTGGACATGAGCAGAGTTCCTTGGGAAAGGTATGGATCATGACTGCCCAGATGGATTATTTATTAACAGGAATGAATAAAAAATGGGATCGGCGATTCTTCGATGGTGCCATTTGCTTTAAAGTTCACTCAAAAGGCATTCCAGGGTTCAAAGAATTCCTGAAGTTCATAAAACCTCCTTGGATTCAAGGAGATGGATTTTTTCCACTTTTCTGGGAACAAGTATTTGATTGTTCATTACCATCCCATTCTTTAACCAAACTGGACAATCCCTTTTGTACTGGAGAGGAGAGGCTAGAGAACATTCCTGGGGCTCTTTTTGAGGTAGAGATGTCTGGGCACAGCTATAGTATCTATAACGCTGCCTCTCTATTGGCTCAAGCTTTACATGCTCTCTTCTTACTTCGATCTAATCGCAGACATTTTTTGAGGCACAAATTATCAGAATATGAAGATTCACAACCATGGCAGGTGATTTGTGTGCTACAAGTATTTTGTACTAGATAATAACAAAGTACAAACCTGAGGTGTATGATTCCAAAAGGGAAGTTGCAGCTACTAAAATGGATTTGAACATTTGTCTATTGATGATATTTATTGCCATACCTTTATTTTCATCCCTGTAATTGTGGGAAATGGTGCATGAAGAGGGGAGCTAATGTGATGGACTATAGTGAAATGGCAGTTTTCCTGGAAGGAGGAAACACATTTCAAGTAAAATTTGTGGGGATAGAAGAGGCACTATAGCCTCAAATTCTGAGGTGACAGAGGAAGAGAGTTAGAATAGCCACACCCTAGAATTTCTCAGGGTATATCTCTTAAAGTATTTAGTATGGGAAGATTTTACCTACAGTGTGTAAGCAAATAAAAAACTTTAATTCTGGCTCAATTTTTCTGCATCAATAGAATAGAATAGAACAGAACAGAACAGAACAGAACAGAATAGAATAGAATAGAATAGAATAGAATAGAATAGAATAGAATAGAATAGAATAGAATAGAATAGAATAGAATAGAATAGAATAGAATCTGGAAGGGGCCTTTGAGCTCTTCTGGTCCAGCCCCTTTCTCAAGCAGGAAAACCTATACCATTTCAGACTAGTGACTGTCCCGTCTCTTTTTAAAAATTTCCAGTGAGGGAGCGCCCACAATTTTTGGAGGCAAGCTGTTCTGCTGGTTAATTGTCCTCACTTTTAGGAAGTTCCTCCTTAATTCCAGGTTGCTTCTTTCTTTCATCAGTTTCCAACCATTGTTTCTTGTCCTGCCCTCTTGTGCTTTGGAGAATAATTTTACCCACTCTTGTTTGTGGCAGCCTCTTAAATACTGGAGTACTGCTATCATGGCACCCTTGTTTCATATTTTCTTTAGATTAGCCAAACCCAAGTACTGCAACTGTTTTTCATGTTTTAGTCTCCAGGCCTTTGATTATTTTAGTTGCACTTCTATGAACTTTTACCAAAATCACAACATATATTTTGTAGTATGGTGACCAAAATTGGTTGCAGTATTCCAGGTGTGGTCCTACTAGGGTTTTATAAAGCGGTACTAATACTTCACGTGATCTAATCCTATGCCTCTGTTTATACAACCCAGGATTGTATTAACTTTTTTAGCTATTGCTGTGCATTGCTGGCTCATAGTCATGTGATCACGCACTAGGACACCAAGGTCCTTCTTACAATTTCTGTTTTTGAGCCAGGTCTCACCTAATCTGTATTTATACATTTGATTTTTCCTGCCTAAATGAAAACTTTTTTCCACATTAAAACTCATTTTGCTGGATAGGGCCCATTGTTCCAGTTCAGTGGTTGGAAACCTTAGCTCTTTTAGGACTTGTGGACTTCAACTCTCAGAATTCCTGAGCCGGCATGGCTCAGCTTAAAACCTCTCCCTTTCCAATCAGCATGGCTGGTTCAAGAAATTTGGGAGTTGAAGTCCACGAGTCATAAAAGGGCCAAGGTTGCCTATCCCTGTTCCAGTTTGTCAAGATCTTTTTGAATCCTGAGCTTTTCTTCTGGGGTATTGGCTATAATTGCCATTTTAGTGTCATCATTCTTCGGCTTAGGTTCAAAGAAATATGTTTTCTATTTCAGCCCGTGAGCCTAGTAAAATAAACTCAGTGTGTATAACCCAAAAAGGGGAAAAAAAACTATAAGATGAACATTAGTCGATTGATAACTATAATACTATACCTTCATTTCCATCACTGTAATAAGGTTTATTACCTGATCATCTTCAGTCATCTTCAGATGAAAGGATTAAGGTTTAAGTGAACTAACATCCAAATCCTAGTTTTCAAATCTTTATGGCTTTTCAGTAATTTTACCTTTTTCTGAAATTACTTGAGGAATGCTGCTTAGCTGAGGCAACTACCTTTCAGCCTTAGCATTTCCTTAGGAGCCGTATAACTGTGAAAATGTTATGCAATGAAAAATGGGTGGGATGTCAAAACAAAGCTGGAAGTTGTTTCTTTGATTTTTCATATCTCTCTTCCCAATCAACATCAAGGACTGGGTTCTAAAAGATATGGAAAGCTAGAAGTATACTTTACATTTCATTTGATTATTATTCAAACTGAAATATCAGATCCTTCTTGTTATCCCCCTGTGCAGAGGATAGGAAACAAGTTCTCAAGAGGCTGGAGAAATGGACTTTGCATGTTTCAGAGTTTCTCACTCAAAAGTATAGTACTACTTTGATAAAAATTGCTCATACATTTCTATTGTTTTATTTTCCTGTTTTATTATTCCCATTCATATAGCTCCACCAATTTCTGAAAGGCATGAAATTCAACAATTCTCTTGGAGAAT